TAATCTTCTGTAAACAACTTTTATGTATTTGAAGTAATTTGGTCTTGATTTGAGAAGCCATATCTACGTATTCTGTAAAGTAATGATGCATTAAAAAGCATGGATTAACATGTTGAGGTACTTTGAATGCTGCTTTAGAGAATTGCATATTAGTAACTTCTGTTGTAAATGTTTCCCTTGCAGCAGAAAACAGCTGAATTACAGTAATATTTACAGTAGTATTTTAACTACATTAGAATATATTTCTCATTTATTTAAACAGAGTAGACAAATCTATTGCTGGTTTCATGCACTGCTTGAAGTTACTGATCTACTAGTTAAGCCCATGAAGCCATGTGCAGCAGTATTAATGTAAGACAATAGCTTGACAGCACCTCTTGCTGTTAAACTGAAAAAGAGAGCCAGCCCTGTTTCAACACCTGTTGCCTTGGGCCTTAAGGGACAAGCTATCTCCTTTACGCTCATTTTTCACCCTTTGGTAGACAGGACCACTTAACAAAATTGTATAAATGAATATAAAAACTTCAGTGTCCACCAAGTGAAGGCCAATCCATACCTGAATAAATCAAGAGTATTAGGGATTTTGCAGGGTTGAGTTTTTCTAGTGACATAGGAAATTAGCAGGTAGCAAAAGCAAACAATATGAGAGGAAATGTAAAAACCATCAGAGGCAGTAAAAGGTTTTCAGTTAAAGCGAATGTGCGGCTAAAGCAGAACCTGTCTTAAAAAATGACAAAAAACATAAACTAAAAAGATGTAATCAACTATCTAAACCCTTAAGCCCAGCGTTATCACTCTGTGATAAAGGTACCACTGGTGTTACTTTGTATTTCAGCTATAAAAATACCATATGTTAAGAAAGTCTGATGTCTTCTTTAATAGAAATTACTTTAAAAAAATCAAGTACGAATTAAAGCTGATCACCATGGACAGATTTAGGAAACTAAGGCTCCTGTGGCTGGAGGCAGCTATGCTGATCTAACCACATGCTTCTAATCAAATAAAGTTAGTTAGGGAGATCAAGTTTAGGGCTTGTAGACTTTGCCCACATGAAAACAAAAAAGCTTTTCTATTTGGCATATCTAACATTTCATTTTAAATTCATAGAAAAAAAATACACAAAAAAATAAAACTAACTATGCCAGGCTTGTATATTGTGATGTAAGTGAAAGAGATAAAATAAGAATGGGTCGTGCAGTTTGTCTACAACTGAGTTTTTTGTCTAAAATATTGAGGTAAAGGTTTTAGTTAAAGGTTTGGACATAAAGCAATTTTGTTTTATTTGTTAAATACCAGATTGTGACATGAAAACACATAAAAAAATGAAACAAAATAAAAGTAATCATAAAACAGAGTTAATTGGTCTCAGTCAAGTTTTCTTTCTAAATGTATACAACGATATATTTGAAACTAATCAATAATCAGAAAATGTATTTTAAAAAAGGTCTCATAGGAGTAAGGGTCCAGGTGAGAAAGTTAACCAGAAGCAAGTGTTGGTAGCAATTAGCAATACATTTAGCATTGAAACTGCAAATGGAATTTGAAAGAGACATCAAACTAAACGTAACCAAATTCCCATTACAGGTTTTAAGATCACTGCGATTAATTGCTAATAGTATATTTATTGCCTAAGGAAGTGTCAAATATTCTAGCAAAATGTCAAAAGTAATTTGCCAAATACTTATTTTTTTTCTTTTTGCAAAAAAGCCAATTGGATTTTGAAAATGGGATAAGATAAAAACTTAGAGTTAGAATTCTGACTTCTAAATTTGAGGAATAAAAATACTGTTAAAATTTCACATGGTAATCTATCCTGAAGGGAAGATTTCTATTTCTGCTTTGTTTTTAACCTAACTGAACAGTAGTAAAGTCCTGTACTCTCCGTCAGTATGTTGGTAGGATAAAAAAAAACAAGTCCTTAATGAGGTGGCAAAAAAAAACAACCAAAATATATTTTTAAAACTTCTTAGTGTAAAATCCCTACTTCTTTAATCTATTTATGGAAATTACTGAGCACATTGTTTGCTTACTCTAACATTTTTCATTGTTTGAAAGGAGAATATGATGTAAAAAGTCCCTGAGCTGTGACTAAAGTCCCTGAGTACAAATCTGTTAGTCGGCATTATTAAAGGAACTCTGCGTCTTGCTATACACTGCAGAAATTAACAAGATGTGGGCATCCTGCAATGTGCCTTCAACTAAAAAAGACGAGGTAAACAACTTTAAAGACCATATGATGAAACTGCTGAGACGCTTTTTTTTTTTCTTCCTGTTGTTGCAAAACAAACCATCATAGCAGTTACACTGAACTTATCAACAAACCACAGAGAACTAAGAAATTGAATAAAATCAGAAGATGATTTTGAAAAGCCCCAGGAAACACGTCCACTGTGCTTTTTCTTTATTCGGGGGCTTATTCTAAGAGGCCTGAATTTTGTGGTGAGCTAAAAAGTGAAGGGTACAGATATGCTGGTTTTGGCTGCTTTAAGTAGGCCTGGCTTGCATGTGGCTAGAAGCAACCACTGCCCTGGCAAACTATTTGGAAATACCATGCATCAAACAGTGATACGGGCAATATAACACATTACTTCCAGTCTAGAGGTTTTTGTTCGCCTTGAACTAATTGTTCTGACTAAATACAAGGGGAAATTTGGAAACATTACATGTATGGATGGTACATATGGATCTAAATAAAGCAAACAGTTTGGTTCTACTATATCTTTAGGTTTTCTTTTATTGTTTTCACAGGATGAAAAAATGTCTGGAACACTATGAAGCCACGCTGAGTCACTGATTAATCTTTTGACCTCGAAGCGGGAAACAAAAGCACTGCCTACCAACACATACATTTTCATGAGGGAGCCAATTTACACATTAACTATGTATACACTATTAGAGAAGACTGACTCACCCCACACTTTGACCAACATTCACCTCTGGCCTTCATGTTAGCCATTCATATCCAATTCACTTTCTTGTTGTTTTCTTTTTGACTATTTTGGCTGTGTTGATAATATAGCATGAAATGTCACCCATTTCACCATTTCAAACTTTTTTTTTTTTTTTTTTTTTGCTCAGGATCCTTTGTCAATGATTCACATAATTTACAGGAAAAACCTTCATACTAAAGCCCAGCTTTTAAATGGTTTTCTTCTTAAACTTATTTCCTTCACCAAATTATTTTGTGCTTACAGGCTAAGGATATAATTTCATTAGTTATTCATAATTTCAATTTTCCAAAATATGGTATATGATTGCTTACTACTAAATAATGAAGCATGGAGTTGCAAAATCTGCATATAGATGAAAATTAAGGAAATAGTTCAGCTTGTGTGTGGAAAAAGCAAGGTATGTTCTTGAAATTCCAGCAAGTTAATTTTGCCCATTCACAAAATTAAAAATCTATATTCTAAGTTACTTTTTTGTGCCACTTAATCTAGAGCAGTAAGTAACAGTTATCAGATTATATATATATATATGTATATATATATATATATATACAGGGCTCGATGTTAACCATCGCCCGATCTCCCGGGGCAAGTAGTTTTTATTGTTGGGAGAGAATAAATTTCATTGCATTTGCCTGCCGGGCAAGTGCAATGATCGCCAAAAAAAAAAATGTATCACTCAAAATTACTTTAAAATTACCGATAATCGATGAAAACAACCCAGAAGCGTTGCCGGCGCCATTTATGTTGTTTTGTACACATTCTCGCGTGATTTGGAAAAGCTGTGTGATTTGAAAAAGCCGTGTGATTTTCCGCCAGATGGCATGATTTTTGTCCCGGAATTGGCATGAATCAGACACCTTTTTTACTTAACAGGCTAAAAAACAACCACGAGGCAAAAAAAATGTATGTACAGTAATACACCCACCACCTATTTTAGCTTCCACCCATTTCACCCACCACCCAGATAATCCTAGATTAAAAATCATCGGTCAGGGAAATTGGCATAATTGTATGCCATGCGCACAGTGTAAATATGGCTATCATATGGCAGTCTTCTGTACAGTGATGCAGGTCATACATTAAAAAATGTCCATGCTAAACATGTTAAATTGGTGACCTGTTATGTTATTATTATTGTCTTGTTGCTGCATTTATTTTGTCAGGGAAAACTAATCCTAAGTCAGTTAAAAGTCAGGGAATTCTGAAATTATGTAAGACTGTGGAAACCCTGTATAAAATAACTATGTAGTATGCCGTGACTCTAAAATAAAAGTTACTCATTTGTGACATTGACTTATGTCTTGTGATTTATCTTAAGTTCTTAACCTGTCAAGTTTTTTTTTAGATTTTTAACATTACAATTTATATTTTTCCCAAGCACACAACAGTTTAAAGCAAAGTTTAGTTTGAAAAGAATGTGCAGGAAGGATTGAAAAACATGTTAAACACGGTAATGTAGGCTTGAGTTCATTATCTGACGCATGCATATACACACCAGGAACCTGTAAACTTAAAAAAATAAGAATTACAAAAAAGATTTAAAAAACAAACATGTTTCATTGATATATATAAAAAAAATTATATTAGGAACTATATTTATCAAACATTTTACTGGGCAAGTAAAAATTGTTTCTGGGCAAATGAAATGTGCAAGGGCAAGTGGTAAAAATCCTTAACGTCCACCCCTGATATGTGTATATGTATATATATATATATATATATATATATATATATATATATATATATATATATATATATATATACACATATATATATATATATACATATATATACAAATGGGCTTTTGGGGATTATTTAAATATGCTGAATGCGTAAGAATGTGCAGTTAGAGGGATAAGACTGTTAAAATAATGGATTTATTATATAGATGTCACTTAAATGTTTCTGTAGTAAAAGCAGCAAATATGAACATATCTAAACTTAACAACTGCTAACTTTTTGCATAGGGAATGCAAAGCGAGAGGGTAAAACCCATTATAAATGGGATATTAGGAGTAGGAGTGCAGGGGAGTAGACTAAGTCACATACGCTATTATCACTTGACCCCGACACAGGATAAACTGTCCAGCCGAGCTCCGCCGTGGCTGTGGTGGAGTCCATGAGTGTCTCTGTGGAGAAATAGGAGAAGAGAAGGGGGTTAGATAATAGGCCGCTGTGAATGCACTAAAGTAAGGAAAACTATTAGAGTAACAACATTATTAAAAAAAAATCACATTATGTCTGTTCGTATTTCATTTTGAACAAACTATATCTAACATAAACACATTTTACAACGGAAATGATCCTTTCAGACTCCAAAATAAGTAAAAAAGAAAAGCTCCGGATAAAATGTCATCTTTTCTAACAGGCTTTACATAAAACAGCGCTTCGTCTTTCTTTGACACATCAACACATCCAGGTCAACAGAACAATGCCATTATCCCCACATAACTGGCTTGAAAAGCAAGTCTGTACGGCACACTGGAGGCGACAACATTCATGCCACAGATTAGCTCATGGAAAGAAACACTTCAAGTAATTGGGGTCAAAGAGGATGTGCCTCCTTCCTGTCAAGAGGTAGTTTGTGGCACAAATTCTTCTACCCTGGTCCAACTGTCCATCATATGCTCATATGGTGCCCCTCTTTGTCTCTTCTCCCAACTCTTGGCATCCATGCCCTCATGCCTGGGTTCCCACCCAAGATGTGGTCTCAGCTCCACAGTTATCTGTCTGTTACATTCAGCAGGTCTTATGAATTCCTCCAGCTTGTGTCAGTCCTGCGCTCCAAGGTTGAGCTACCACAGATGGAGACACCATTCATCAGTTTGGAGGCGTCAGCTGCAGCTCCAAAATGCCACAGAGGGATTTAGAAACCCCCTTGACAAACACAGCTACTAATCTTAACATAAGTCAGAGCCTGGCTTCTTGGTACAGGTCGGTTAGACAACTGCAGGCTGTGGCGCTTCAGTCTTATCATAAAACTGAAATAACTGAATTAAAGCTATGTTAGCCGGCTTACTGAAAGATCTTTGTCAATGAAAGACAACTGAACCCGTAAAATCTGTTAAATCTCAAGGTTCTCTAGAAAAGGTAATGACCCAACAGAATCAAAAGAAGAGGATCTCAAGTTACGACTAAAAGGCTTTATTTATCTCTTTTGCATTTTTAGCTCTGTTCGAGTTTGGATAATGTTTCAGACACTTTCAGCTTTTCACTACCTTGGATTTTCTCTGATTTATATTCTGGAGAAAGGCACAGATTTTAATTAACAGCCTCCGAAAGCAATGGCTTATTTCAGAGCCTTCTGCTGACTTTTAGAATCTCACCAATACTCACAAGACATACACCTAGATTTCACATCCCATTCAGTTATCACAAAGACCAAATCTTATAATTAGGCAGATGAGACTGCAATTGAGCAGATATTGATAACATTCTGAGTGACTCAGAGTTGAACAGTCTACATGGGTGTTAGGCGGCAAAATGGTAATTATACCCTGTAACGATGATGATAATTAGTGGGGGAGAAAAGTGAAAATAATGAACCACCCTCTGTGGTGGTTTAGAGTGTGTTGTGGGGGAACAGGGAGCATATTTCCGCAAGAATGGTAACACTCGCTGAGTGACACGTCATCCTCTTCCCCCAAACCCGACTCTTTCTCTCTGAAGCCAAACATTCCTTTTGTCTGTTTCTATTTTGATTCCCGTGTTATTTTGGTTTCTTTCTATTGAACATTTTTAAATTAAACGGTGATTTCTACTTCACACCTCTTTATTCATTTTCTCTCAGATGAACCCCCTCTCATTCTTTGCTTTTGTTTTATGTCACTTGTGCTATCAGTGACCCACAAGTACTACCTCCCCATGAAAGACTGATCACTTTTCTTCCTCCTGCTGTCTACACTTGAGTCTAGGCAGCCACACAGATTCATTACCTCCCATGAGGCAGAGCAGCACATAGCTCACCCCTGTCAACCACAGCCTCGTTTTCGGTCCCCGTTGAGGCAGAGAGTGTGAGTGCTCAGCAAGACATGCTGGGTATTAGTCAGGAGGACGACATGACACAGAGTTACTCCTGGGAATGCGTAGGAATCATTTTTTGTTTTCTCTTGCGAGGACATGTTTGCATATGATCATTTGAATTTTATCGCTTACAGGAACGGTGTAAAAGCACACTGAAAATGAGTAGCCAGGGGTCCTGCAGGAATTCTCTAATATTACATGGTCATGCAGTCAAAGATACTCTTCAGGCACTTTTAAAGAGTGCTTGAAGAATATGTTGAAACTCTTTAATTAGTTTGGTATCATGTGGGTTTTATTGTAGGATGCTTTATAGACTTCACACAATGTCTATCAGAGTTTTAATTAAAAGGAAAAAGGATTAATGAAACACTACTTTTCATTCTAATTAGGCAGACGGTCCAGGGAACCAGGGGTTTTCTCACTTTTAACTAGATACATGGAAGCGTTTCAGCGTGTTTTCATTTGAAAGAGTAGTATGCAATGCACTTTTTACTGATCCAACAACAAACAAAATCAGGCTAATATCATTAAATGAATGCAAAGTTCTATTTTTTTTACTGAAACAATTATATATGCTGTGCTTTGGGCTTGACCTTTTTATGTCACTTGACAAAAAATAGCCATGCACAGGGAAATGTGAACAGAGGAATCTGTTGTTTTTTCTAATTTTTTGGGAACGCACCATATCAAAGTAACAGGTAGTAGCTACAAAAGCGTTCTAATTTGGATGCTGTTAATTTCCAAAGACGCGAGTATACAATTATCTGTATCATGTGTTTAATGTGAATTCAAGACAGATGAGAAGAGTTCGCACTTTTCTCCAACTTAAATAAATACCTTTCTGCATTTCACTCAAAATGCAGGAGAAAGGGAGACTTGTTTACAGATTATACCTAAACCTAATTTAGAAATGGATCAATTAACTTTTTATAGATCATACTGATGGATTCTACAGACAAAATCTGATTGGTATACTAAACACCACACTAAAAAGTAGAATCTTTACTCCTTTGATTCATTTAAATAAACCTCCCTTAAAATTGATTTTTAGTACAATATTTGGGCAGCTTGCAGTGCAGCTTTTTTAGAAGGCATAATGTTTAGTTTAGAGGGTATCATCAGCTTGGCCCAACACTTGATTAAGAATTGCAATCTCTCAGTATCCCATCACAGCAGTAGCTGCATTTGAGTGATTTGTGTGGCTTTTAATTGATGCATAAAAGTGTTTTAACAGTCTAAGCTCATTGGAAAAAGATCTCCATGTTGGTTAACAGAGAGGAATAGATACTTGACTGGCAGCAAAAGCAGCATATTGACAATATGACAATAAAAAATAAAACCTTCTTGGTATTTTTATGCTCTTAACTCTAAAGGTAGCTATGAATATGCAATGAGCCCAAGGAGTCTAAGAAAAGCCCACCATGAGGAGAGCTCTTCCTCGAACACTTGCCGATACTAAGGAGAGAGTTTAGTGCTGATCTTAGAGCTCTCAAGTGAGAGGCTGTCTAAAGTGACAGGCGAGTGGAATGGAAAAAGGGGTGCGTGGTACTACAACAACACTCTTCCTCTCTAAGAGGGGTCAACGCTTCATCTCTGCTTTCTAAAGAAAGCAGCAGAATTTCCAATGAGGGATACAGAGCGGATGTCTTCACAGCAGACAATAATGTTTTGTACACAGACAGATGCTGCGAGTCAGAAAATAAACAACGAATACCTACAGACAAGATTCCTTAAGTTGTTACCACTGCGTGAATGCTTTTCAGTATAGATTTTTTAACTGCCTTTTTTTTGTCGCACCTCAGAAAATTTTCCATGAGGATTTTGTTTTCCTTTATTGGTTTTATTTATTCATCTGTTTTGTCTGCAAGCTTGTTTCTCTGTTTTTTTTTCACCCATCGTTCATCACAATGACTGACAATTAACGACTTGGCCAAAGGGCAAAAATCTTAGTTTGACAGTTGGATGCTCAATTTGAAGGGAGAGGTAGACAGATTCTTCCAGTCTGGGTGTTGCTTGTCTCCTCTGCCAGGAGGAATATCTGAACAAACACATGGACCTTTACACAGGACGGGTGACAAAAAAAACAACAACTTTTTAAAGAGATTTCCAAGATGCACATACATGATCTTGTGCAGCTAAGAAGTAAGATGACTAGCATAAGGGTTCTCATTTTGTCCAATTGCTTTGCATGTTATTACATCATGGAAAACAAGACATCCATACAAAATGGCTTTAAGATGGTAGCTCAACCAGGAATCAAAGAGAAAGAACCAATGTTTAAGCATATCGTTGTGTATTTAGGTCCAACGGTTTAACGAGGGTATTTTGAGAAAGCAGTTGACCTTCAGAACAGCATGAAGCAGCTTGGAGGCGGGATTTCTTTTTTATCTTACTTGCTGGCAGAACGGTAGCCTCTTTCCAAAATGCAGCAAATCCCTAAGCGTTTAATTCAAAAGCAACATAAACCCACATACGGTGCTCTCTGGTGTTGCGATAATGTCAAGAAACCGAGCTGAAAAACAGCTTTAATATTCTGCCCATGAAATCCATGTTTTGTTAAGTTCTGCTAAACCACAAATGCAAGGCAAATGTGTATGAATGAACACCTGAAACCATGTTATCTGAAGGCAAATGTGGGAAGACTGTTGTGTGCGCTACAGTTGCAGGGTAGCAGCTGGTCAATGAGCTAAAAACAGAGTTATATATAGTCAACCAAGCACGCAAATCTTGCAGATTAAGGAGAAAGGGAATGGCATACCCCTGAGAAAGAAGAAATGTGATTTATAGCTTCAGTGATAGACAGAGCTACTGTAGGGCCAGGTGGAAATAATCACATGTTTTATTTACATTGAAGGAGTGAGAGGAGCCCCTAGCCTCAAGAACTTTGGCTCAACATATCCATCAGCACAAGCTGCTCTCATTAAGGTAAGCAAGAACTTTCAACATAGTTTTAACAACTGATAAATTAATCCCCAATGACAATTTACCAAACTGGCACATTTTCTGGACAGTGAGGTATTGACCAAAACCTGTGGAAAACTTTTGCTTTCAAAAGCACATCGACACACATCCAAAAGTGGTAGGGAAGTTATTGGATAGACTTACA